TGCCATAGTGACGAGCTCCATGGCAACCCTGCAAGGAAATGAATAATTCCGTGCTCAAAGTGGAATAATTCCCTGCTGGAAGTGGAAGATAAAAAGGGACCTGATGGCTGAGGGTGCTGCAAAATAGATGATCAGCAAATCACCCAGGTGCACCCATTGGGGGGTGCTTGTGAGAGCCCTCAGTAATGGGGCAGCGTTGGGGTGCAGGATGGATGCAGTGGGGCTGTGTCAGGGCATCCAGATAAGCCTTTTGTCTTGGTGTTCCCTGATTTCCATGTAACCAGGTTTATTGAAGTCATCTGCAGGTCGTGCATGGGCTGTACCTGCCTCTGCTGACACAGCTCTGTCTCCACCATGCCCTGAGCCCCATAAGATGCTGCACCCCTGGGTTTGTCTCAAATATGGATTTGATTCCTCCTCTCCAGTTCTGGCTACGCTGGAAGCATTCCCAAAAATGAAAGCCAGCTCTTTTCTGAGCTTTGAAGTGTGGAGTAGAACTGAACAGAGAGAAAAAAAAATCTATCCCATGGGGGATGGGTTTTTAGAAAAAAAACAAACCCTATTGAGTCAATGGCATTTGTATTAAAAACAGCGAGTCCTTGGAGTCATTTCCATAGGAATCAGCCCTCCCATTCCGGGCAGGCTCCCTACAGCAGCATCCAAGGCTGCAGCTGAGTGGGGAACAGTGTGAGAAGGGGGGGTTCTGGGGTCTGCCCACCCCAGGAAAGGGAAGCAGGGCAGGGCAGGCTGCCTTCTGTTGAACCAGTGATTCACAGCTGTGACTCACAGCCCCATCCTATAGTCATGGAAAACAGCCAGGTCTGGCCATCAGCTGTGTGCCTTTTCCACTGCGAGAAGTTATTTTTGGGTGTTTTTAGATTACAGCCCTTGTAGTTTTTTTTTTCAGTGCCTCTGAATTCTGGATGATTGCACTGCAAGTAATTGAGGCACTTGAATTTCCTGCTTAGAGAAATGAGCTCAATACCATTTTTTTTGCAACTCTAAGGCATTTCTAAAATAGCTTTTCTGCGTGGCGTCATGGGGAGCAGGCACACAGCTTTGGGGCTCTTTGTGCTGAATTTGGGAGCACTGGGTGCAGGAAGGTTGCAGAAAAGGATTTGGGGGCTGTCAGCTTGAACATGATTCACCAGTGCACCCTTGCTGTGATGGAGACTGGCTGGGTTTACTGGTAAGGTTGTAGCCAGCAGGTCAGGAGAAGAGATGGTTGCCCTCAATTTGGCACTCACAGGTTCACACCTGGAGCACTGTGCCCAGTTTTGGGCATAGCTTTGGGCTCCCCACTGCAACAAAAACGGGGCCATGTGGGAGCCACCAAAATGATCCGAGCACTGGAGCCCAAGGCAGGGTGGGAGAGGCTGAGAGAGCTCCTTCAGCTTGGAATTGTGAGAGCTGGGAGCACTAGATGATCCTTAAGGTCCCTTCCAACCCAAATCATTTTAGGATTCTATGATTCATGTCCCTCTCCAGTCTGATTTTGTGATCCCACAGGACAGTGAGGGAATGTAGGGCTTTGTCTGTCCCCCTCACAGTGGGATATAGACATAACACAGGGACCAGAGAAGGTCATCAGAGAAGCTCACAGCGGGTTTGAAATGCTGCCCATCCTCTGGAGATGACCTGAGCTGGCTGGTGATGCACAGCCACCCCTCCCTGGGGCACACAACTCTAACCCAAGAGCTCAAAACAACCTGAGCAAAATCCACGCCTTTCTTGGTGCTGCTGCTCCCCTTGTGCTGTGCACCGGAAGGGTTGGACCGTGTCCCTCAGCCCCTCCCAGGCTGCAGGGACCAACCACCACCCTTCATCCCTGCCTTTCCAACCCAGCCCTGCCCAAGTGTGGTGCTCAGTGGTGCCAGCTCTCCTGTCTGTGCCTGCATACAGCCCTGGGGCCAAGGTTGTTGTGGTGGGGGAGTGAGGACCAGCTGGTGAGGGAGCTTATTGAGGTCTGGGGTCCTGGTGCAGGTGAATGCCCTGAGCACAGAGTGAGCCTTTCCCTCTGTGCATTCCCACTGTCAGAGGGCCTGGAGCATGGCTTTGACAGGAGGCAGGAAGAACTTCTGTACAGGGGAGCCTGTTGCCTGAAGGAGGGGTGGGAAAGGAGAGGAGTCTTTTGGGAGGTGGAAAATGTGATGCCACATCAAAGAGAGAGTTGAATTTGGGCCTCTAATTTCAAAACAGAGTTCAAAGCACCGGAATGTTACAATCACAAAAATCCCAAAATGTATTTGGCACTTTCTTTTGCCTTCTCTTCCCCCATCCCTGGGTGCCACCATCATACTGGGGAAGCTCCCAGAGCCAGGACCAGCACCTAGGAGGCTCAGGGTCGTTTCTGGACATCTTTCCTGCAGTCCTGAAAAGCCTGGGAACCTCAGCTTCCAGCGGGGGGGGTGGGGCAGGAGCTGCTGGGGTTAACTTGTGGCTGAATGAGTTGTGGTTTGCCATGGAGTGTAGATTCCTAAGTCCTTTATTGGATCTAGCCCGGGGCTCTATTCCCAGCCCTGTTTGTGACATTAACAGGTCACTGCAGCCCCAGGGCTGTCCCCACCTTGTCCTCACTGCCTGCATGGCACTGGCAGGACACTGAGGGCAGGGCAGAGGGACCCACAGCCGAGGAGCCTCGGCACCACTGTCACGCAGGCACTGGAATCAATTTGGGAGGCGGGCACGCCTCGCTGCTGGCCTCCTTGAAACTGTGCCACCACACACAGCGCTCAGGAGGGATATAAATAGTGCTCAGGACACCCTGGGATGCAGCAGACAGCAGGTATTTCAGGAGTGATGCTGCTGGCAGGGTCGTGCCGGGGCAGCTTCTGCTACATTAGTGGTTATTTGCATCCTGTAAAGATGAACGAGTGTGAGCACAGCAGCTGGGGATGGATCAGACAGGGGATACAGAAGGTGTTGTGTGGTTCTGGCACAGGTCCTGCATGTCTTTGGACAAGTTACTGAAGACCAGATTTTCCACAGAGTACCTGTGACAGCCCCCCCCATCCTTACAGTCGGATATTGTGTTTCAAAGGGGGTTTGAACATATAGAATCCCAGAACGCTTTGGGTTGGAAGGGACCTTAAAGATCATCTCTTCCAACCCCCCTGCTGTGGGCAGGAACACCTTCCACTAGCCCAGCTTGCTCCAAGCCCCATCCAGCCTGGCCTTGGACACTTCCAGGGATGGGGCAGCCACAGCTTCTCTGTGAAATCTGTGCCAGGGCCTCCCCACCCTCATAGAGAAGAATTTCACTGGGGCAGGGAAAGCTTGTGTGCATTCAAGGCTTCTCTCCTTGCAGAGCTTTGATGCAGCTGGGCACGGAGCTGCCCACGCTGCAAGGTCACTGTGGCAGATACAACCTCCAAGGACGTGCCTGTGGGTCCATCCCAATTCCAAAATGTCCGTATTGAGCCTGTTCTGTGTGTGAGGGCTGCAGCAGGCACAGGCAGCGGGGGCACTTGGGCAGTGGGATGCTCAGCATGGCAGTGAGGAGCCCATCTGCTGCCCAGCACATGGCACTGAGTTGGCACCAACACTGCCCGTGCTGATATTTGCAACGTGGGGTGCTGAGCACTCGGGCAGGAGATCCCAGAGCTGGGAGTGTCGGCTACTTGAGCATGTCTGAGCAGGAATTGAGAGTCTGAGCAGGAATTGAGGGTCTGAGCAGGAATTGAGGGTCCGAGTAGGGTTTTGGGGTCTGAGCAGGGTGTCAGGGTCTGAGCAGTGCTTCAGGGTCTGGCAGCTCCTGGGTGTAAGGGTTGGCACCACAGCAGTGGAGGAGGCCCCTTCTGTGCCTTGTAGCCTGGTGGTTTGAACACTTTCCTGGGAAATGGGCTTTCCAGTGCCCCCTATCTCACTTCAGGAGAGCTCCCAGCTGCAAGAGCACAGCAGCCCTCATTCCAAGGGAGCCAGCACACGGCCAAGGGGCAAATCTTGGCATCCCAGTGGGTGGCAAGAGCTGTAGGTGGTCAGAGCACTGAGCTGGGAGAGGAGGGAGTGATGCTCTGAGTGATGAGGTCACTTAGGGACAGAGCAGAGGGGGACCCAGGAAGCTGGTGAGATGTTTAGGAAGTGTGGAGGCTCTGGAGGGGCTCTGTGAGCACAGCCCTGACCAGTGAGCAGTGGCTGAGCACAGCTGACACCTGGCAAACATGAAAGCAGGGCTTGTTAGACTGCACACAGGCTGCTGATTGTAACCTCAGTCACAAAACCTCCTTAGCCAAAGCCTGACAGCATCCCCTGAGTTTTCCCAGGCGGATCTGTGATGCTCAGCACTCCCATCGCCCAGTCCCAGGGAAACAAGGCAGGTGCCCACTTCTCTCCTCTCCCTGTTGCTCCAGCCTCCCCAGCACTGTTTGGTGCCAGCTCTGCAGAGCTGGCAGCTGATCTTGGACTCTGTTCAGAGCACCTTCTGTGGTGCTGGGCAGTTGGCTCCATGATGATCCCAAAGCCCACCATGCCACGGGTTTTTCTCACCCTCTGTGAGAAGGAAGCTGCAGAATGGAGCTGTAGCCTGAAAGGTGCATCCACTCACACAGCCTGCAAAAGGAACAGAGCATCTGGTGGTGCAAGGGTGCATACACCTCTGGGGATTTAGGACAGCAATTTTTATGATATTACATTATATTTTTGGGAAGGGATTACATAATATCCCTTGGCAGGGATGTTGGAACTAGATGATCTTCTAGTTCACTTCCAACCCAGCCCGTTCTGTGATTCTCTGATTCTGTGTTGGTGGGATTTTGAGGTGAGGAGGTGCTAGCTGTAGCCTCTGAAGTCAGCAGGAGTTAGATGGGTGTTGCTGGATGCATCACAGAGTCCCCAGGTGCTTTTTGTGGTTATTCTTCAAAAGCCCAGTGAGGGATGGACACCTCTGAAAGGGTCTTGACTCCTGAGTTTTATTTAATAGAAGGATTTGAAGCATGCAGTGGACAAACCCCCTCCTCCAGACTGAACTGCAGTAACTTGCTGTTTGTTTTCTTTTCCCAAAGCTCCCAGAATGGAGAGGAAGCTGGAGCCTGGCCGAACAACCAGTTTGACACGGAGATGCTCCAGGCCATGATCCTGGCTTCAGCAAACGGTTGGTGTCCATCACGTGTGGGAAAACCATGACACTGCTCTTGCAGGGGCATCTCGGGTTCATGCTGTCAGATAAGATGCTGATGGGACTGCTTTGTCTGGCTTCAAGAGTCCTTGTTCAACAGATCCCAAAGCTGGTGGGAGAGCACTGCTGTCTGTGTTACCCTGCAGAGGAGGGGGTCAGGAAGGATTCAGGCAGATTGCTGTAGACAGGGACACCTCTTCCACTCAAACTTTATTTCCCATGCAGTGGGCAGAACGTCACCTGGCTCGTGATGTGGCTGTGTTACACGAGAGAGCCAGTCTTGAGGTGATCTTTTATAAACTACCTGGTTCCAGAAGGTCACACCAAATCAAACTGCTGTGTTGCAACTTGCTGTGAGATGAGGAGGTAGGAAGGCTGGAAGTTTTGCATGTGGCAGGGCCAGGGAAACAGTAAACGCCTGACTCGGTGTTCCCAACAAACCTTGTGTCCAGAGGAGCTCCCCGGGTTCCTCTGCTGAGCCATGAACTCACTAAGGTTTTCCCCACTGGCTGCTGCTGCCTCTTTGCAGTTGTAGTCACAGGGGGGTGGTTTTGGGGTCATTTTGGGTCGGTTTGTTCTGGTTTATGGCTGTGTGGAAGTGGTGGGCAGGGAGGGTGTTCCCACACACCCACAGTCTCCATGGCTTTGAATAAAACAAGTACAATTATCGCTCCGTGCAGCACCGCGGATAAAGAGGCTGGTTTTCATACAGCCTTTATTTATAAATACCTCCAAGTCCTTCCCCCCTTGATTTAAAAATAGAAGCAACAGGACAGCCATAAAACCCCGTGCAAAATGCTTAGGATGTTTCCTTTGAGCTGTTGGGAGGGAAGGAATCCGAGGGATGGCTTTGGAGTTGCTTTCTTGGAAAGCTGCTGCAGCTGAACTTTGCTGCTCCTCAGACACCAGGCAGCCTGGAGACAGCTGCCCTGGCTGGGGAAGGGGACGAAGGTCTGAGGCAAGGGAGTTGTTTACACTCAAGGGAAAGAAACAATGTGAAAATGTGTCTTTGCTCTGAAAAAAAGACCGTGGAAAAACAGCCTTTGGGGTTGCACGTGGTTATCATCACTCAGGGCCTCCAGATCCGGTTTCCTTGCTGGCAAATAAAGCTGTTTTTTTCTGACTGCTGCTCTGGCAGTCCCCGGGATCAGAGCTGAGAGGGTCCCTTCCAGGTTAAGCACCGACTTCTACGGAGCCCCGGGGCCCCATTTCAGCAAATCTTCCCCAGTCCACGAGTCTCAAACAGCCCTAACCTCTCCCACGGCTTCAGTCATCCCAGGGGGTTGATGTAAATCAGATCCATCCTCTAGATAATGGCTTTTCCTTTTCCATCCTTTTCTTGCCCTTGCTCGTTCCTTTCTGTGCTGGATGAATGGATGGGGACACAGCACAAGTTTTTTCCACTAGCACAGTGTTTTCATGTCAGCCCTGCTCTCTGTCCCCTCTCTCTGCTCTCTCTTTAAGCCAAGGGTGTTGATTGGAGCAGGCTTTGATTAGGGGCAGCACTAATTGCCCATTAAGCTTTGTGCTGCCCATCCTTGGCTGATGTTTCCTGGCTATTTAAATGATCCTTATCTCTTACTGTCACCCACTGAGCTCTCTGTTAGAGCCCCGGCGTGGCAGGTGGGACACAGTGACACAAGTGATGCCCTGGATGCATCCGTACCCTGTGCCAGGTGTTATCCTTCACTTCAGCAAGAGGCAGAGCTGGCCCTGCCATACCAAACCTGTGTGATCCACCTGCTCCAAGGATTAAATAGTTAAATCACCCTCCCAAGTCAGAGTACTTGGGGAGCCGATTTCCACCCAGGGCTATGACCTTCCTGTAGGGCTTCCGTCTCCCTTCCTGGGCATCCTTCCTTTGGATTTTCCTCCCTTGCAGCTGGGAATGACATGAAAAGCCAGAGTTTTTAGCAATCTGAACGGGCAGAAGCAGCTGCTAAGACATACCAAGGAGCACAGATGCTCCAGGACACCAGACACTAAGGGGCAGACGTCCTGTCCTTAAAATACTCTGGCTTCCAGTGGGAATTTATAGAGGTGCCATGAGATGGTGGGAGAGCAGACAGAAAGGCAGCCCGAGGAGATCCTTCTCCCCCTCAGGCAGGGCAGACACACTAAATTGGGGTCTCCTGAGAGCCCCAGCAGCAGCTGCAGCAGCATGTGCTCCGGGGCTGCCTCTGGGTGATGCAGCCCTGAGCTGGTTATTTTTGCTGAAGCCCAAATTCTTGTTTTCCTCCTCAGGACCATTTGGGACAATGCCTGGCTGCTGGTAAAGGCTGAGCATGACCTTTCCAGCAACAAGAGCTGAAGTGCCTTGCTTGGCAAGAGCACCTCGGTGCCCATTTATAACCCTCTATTGTTCCTGTTCTCTCTTCTTTTCAGCCTTAATGTCAGTGTTACCTAGAAACAGCCCTTCGCCCTTACCCGGGACCAACAGGCAGGCTGGGAACTTCACCAGTGGCTTTTTCTGCCTGGTGAAAGCTGTGCTGAGACTGCAGATTAATTCATGAGGACTTGAATGGTGCTGGTAGCCCCCAGCCCCTCCCTGCTCAGAGCCCTGGTCATCTGGGATGGCCCAGGAGGGACAGAGGGCAGCAATACCCGGGGAAGAGAAAGTTTCCAAGTCCACCAAGCCTCTAACTGGGCTCTTTCCAGCTGGGACAGTCCAGAAAAAGCAATCTTCCTCATGGCTGGAGTCTGTAGTGCACCTGTGAGACAGTCCCTGCACATCTCAGTCCTCTCATCCCACAGGGATCACTTGTAACACCCCGATGGGTGTGGGGTTGAGTTGGTTGTTAATGAAATAAGCTCCTGCTTATAGACATGCATCTCCCCAGCCCGAGGTCTTCAAAGGCCTGCTGGGCCTGGAACCCATTTAATGAGAACTCTGGAAAAATCCTCCTGCGGTGAATTCTTCCCCAGGGGAAAGGGAAATGACATTTCCCCACGCTGGGTCCCTGTGTTTGTGCACCACGTCCCCCCACCCCAGTGCACAATATTGTGCCCGTTTTCAGCCTCGCTGTGTTTTCCCCTCCTCCTGCTCCAGCAGAGCAGCTGTAACTTTTCAAACTGCAGTTGCTTCATACTTCTGACCCCTGCGAGGGAATGTGTACACAGTCATGTTTCAGGGGGCTGGTGGGATGTGGTCCAGCTTTTTGTCCAGCTTTCTGCTCGGCTTAGTCACCCCCATCTGCTTAGGGAAAAGCAAAAGCAACACAGAGACGTGCACAGAGCTGATCTGGAGTGAGGAGAAACACTAGGGGACCAGCCCACCATCTCTGCTCGTTGTTTTTCTTTATTCCTGCAGTCTCTCTGCCTGTTAAAGGGGGAGCAGCACCCCTGGGCTCTGCCTTGGGCTCTTTGGGTGGCCTTGTTGGGTCTCTCCAGCCTCTCAGGAGAGCCTGTCCTTAGCCATGAGCATGAGGCAGTTAAAGGCTCAGATGGGAACCTCTGACACAGAAACTGGGTTTTAGCAAATCATTTCTGAGCAGGGCTGTGCAAGGATCCCACCCTGAGCCATGCACAGGCAGCTGCACCGGAGCAGATCATGCAGCAGCTCATGGCAACAGCATCACTCGAGCCTTACCATCCCCCCGTGCTCGTTTCTCCCCCTGCCTCCACGCATCCCCCACCTCCATCTGGTCTCCACCATCCAGCAGAGCCCCGGCATCCCGGGGGGGCCCTGAGCCCCTCCCCACTCCTCCTTTCCCTCTCTCCGTGCTGAAGCTTTGCATAGCGACAGGAATGGACCTGCCTTCCCCTCCCCCTGCCCCCAGACCTGGGCCATCAGCCGCTCTCTGGCATTGATCTCCTTCGTGCTCGGCTTCCTAGAGCCATTTGGCGGTATTGCAGGGGAGAGATTTTCTTTCTCGTCTCCCGCGCCCTGCTCCCCGAATAAACCTGGCTGGAGAAACACCGGGGGCAGGGCTTTAAATGCGGCGGAAAAATAAATAAATATCGGATTTCCCTTAATGCATTACTACTGATTGTGGCTGCACAATATGTCTGGGCACTTTCGGGGGGGGCGGGAGGGTGTCTGTGCCGCACTCCCCAGCACACACGGTGCGATGGTTGGTGGCACCCAGGTATGGGTTTGACAGCTTGATGCCCCGGGGGGGGGGGGCTGCTGAGGCTCGGGGTGTGCTCTGGCCGGCTTTAACAACGTGCCCTTCTCTTTGCCCCCTCCCTTTGGCGTTCCCCACAGAAGCTGCTGATGGCAACTCGACCCTGGGCGGCGGGAATGGCACGATGGGGCTGAGCGCCCGCTACGGCCCCCAGTTCACCCTGCAGCACGTCCCCGACTACCGGCAGAACGTTTACATCCCGGGCAGCAACGCCACCCTCACCAACGCCGCCGGCAAGCGCGACTCCAAGAACGCCGCCCCCGCCGCCGGCAACAAGAAGAAATCCGGGAAGAAGGAGAAGAAGTAGAGAAGAAGAAGAAGGAGACCTTAGAGCTACAGGGCAGCCGGCTCCAGCACTCCCCCCCCAAAAAAGAAACCACAGCCCAGGCCGGAGGACGAATGTGAATTTTTATTTTTATTTTTTTTGTGACGCAAAAGTAGGAAATGCTGCGAATGTATCTCGTCATCATCAGGTCTGGGAGCAGGGACTCGCTGCTCTTAGACCTCGTGATGGAAACCGATCTGGAAGCTCAACCGAACACAAACAAGTGCCCTGTGAATAATGTTTTATACGATCCCTTGGGTATTAGAATATGCAAGGGCGGAAGGTCTTTTGCCACGTCTTTGGATCCGATTTGCTCCCAGGTAGTCCGAGGCTTTGTGCTCGGCTTTGCCCAATGTAAATAATTTTAACGTGGATCTTATAATTTATATAGCCCTTCAATCATTTTTTTTTGGAATGGAAAAGGAAGGTCTTAGCTTAGAGCCCACGCTCCAATTCTTTGCTCTTAAATTTTCCATTCATAAAATTCACCCCCCTCCCGCCCCAGTTAATGGTAGTGATGGATTTTGGAATTTGGAAGTTGGTAGGGAGTGCTTCAGTTCCTGCTTACCTGTCACCCAGAAAAAAAAAAAGTGTTTATATTGCATGAGTCAAAGGGAATATGGCAAAGCTGCATCCTAAACATTTTTTTTTTGTTAGTTTATTTGTTTGGGGTTTTTTTTAAAAGTGTAACCACTAATGGCCTGAAACATGAGAAGTGAAAAGCCCTCCTGATGTCTGAGAGGCAGGGAATTCGATAAGGAGCGTTGCCGAGGTGTGCGGCAGCTGCCCCGGCGGTTCTAGGGGTCTCCGAAGAGCAGACACATCTCAAACCTTCTTTGCAGTAAATATTTATATGTACAGTCGATGTTCTTATGGAATTAAGGCTAAGAGAGCCTCGCTCCCCTTGCGGCCGGGCGGGTGCCCGGCCGGGTCCCCCGCCCGAGGGGACACATGGGGACGACGCTTCACGTCTCTGCACAGTGTCTGCATGCACGTCCCTCACCTCACACCTGCACTAGCGCAGTAGCTCCACGGACCCGGAGAAGTCCTCGCATGCCCACGCAGCGTGGTGTGAACGCGCCGGCAGCCGCCCGAGCCCCCGCGCCGGGGCTGCCTCGGGGGAAAGGGGGTGGGAGGGGGTGGGGTGGGTCAGGTGGGGTGGGGAAACTCCTTGCTTCTTATTTGGGCCCCAAAAGGGTAATTTGGGGTGATAAGGCAGTTTTTTTTATAAGGCGGTTGTTTTGTGGGGGTCTCGCCCAAAGGGGTGGGATCCGCAGAGCTGCCCGTGCATGGCTTTGGTGCAGAGTTGGTGATTGAGTAAGTGATGGTTGTTTTGGTGGCGTTTGGGGACCAGATTCAGAGAAGGGACCCAAAAGCAGGGGGTGATGCTGCAAAACTGGGGGCAATAACTGGGGGAGTGTCGAATGAGACCATGTAGGGCCAGCCTGGAAGAAGTGATGCTCCCGCTGGCTTTGGGCTTTCCACCCCATGGAGAGAATCAAAGGATGAGGAATAGAGTTTCTCCACATGCCCATCATCCTTGCACCAGGCCAGCTTCCCATAGCAAAGCAGCTCTGAGCCCTCCAGGGAGGCAGAGGGGGGCTTTGTGTAGCCAGAGAGAGAAGAGGGGCTGTGGGGTGGCCAGGAAGGGGCCGCACCGAGTTTCCCAGGGGGTGTGTGTTGTTTTTTTTCCTTTTTTAATCACTAACACGTAACTCACCCGAACAGATCCAGCCCTCTCAGCCAGGCTCACCCTACCCCAGCCCCCTCCCCAAACCCAGGGCAGCAGGAGCATCCTCCGTGTCTCATCCGGATCCAGCCACCTCCAGCTCTGGCTGCACTGGGAGCGGTTCCCACCCTGTCCCCTGCAGCTGCCACCTGCCCCCCCTTCCCTCTAGAAATGCTGTAGCTGAATCGTAGTCTTTATATTTTCTTTTTAATCTGCAATCTGAGGTAGCGTAGTGAGTGTTGTGTATTTAGTGGCGTGTTATTTTTAATTGCAGTAACTAACTCGTGGACATCAGTATTTTCAATTTTCTCTGTATCTTCTTTCCATGTGGTCTGTGCTCCGAGTGTACGTGAAATGAAAACACGTTTGCCCTTTCAATGTGTCTAATATTGAATTATACTTATATATTATATATATGCTTATATCCTTCTTATACCCATATAGACCAATGTCGATGTGTTACACGCAAGTTTTATACTCTAATATTTATATTGCTTTTTTTCTTTGGGAAAAAAAATAATAAAATGGTTTCTTCTGAATGAATGGTGTTTATTCCAATGGGAGGAGGGAGGCACGGATGGGGCCTGTCCATCCTGTTTCTGCTGCTTCTGGTGGGGGTGGGAGGGATCAGCCCCAGCCTGGCTCCAGCAGTGGGGATGGTCTTGGGGCACCCCAAATCTTATGTCCCCCAGGCCTGCTTTTGGGGTACACCCATCCTCTGGTCCCCCAGGCCTTTGAGTGGGGAGTGACATGGCTGTGGGTCATGACTGAGGAGATGGTGGTGTCCACAGCTACGGTCCCTTCCCCACACCCAAGGGGATCCAACTGCCCCTCTCCATCACTGGCAGGGATCTGGTCGCTGTTCCCCAGCCCCAAGGGGGTACAGAGGCCCCTCTCCATCACTGGCAGGGATCTGATCACTGTTCCCCAGTCCTGGGGGGATCCAATTATGCTTCTCCAGACCCCGTGGGGATCCATCCCATCACCTTCCCCATCACCAGCAGAGATCCACTCTCCCTTCCCCAAGCCCGGGGTGATTCCCTGTTCGTGGAGCCCGGGCTCCCCTCTCTGTGCTTGGGGAGGGTGGATGGGAGGAGGGGTCAGGAGTTGTGACCAGAGCTCCCCGGTCAAGAAGATCCCCCCACCCTCTCCCTGTGGGGGGTCCAACACACGCTGAAGAAAAACATCCCGTGGCTCAGGGTGTCGTAACTGTGGAGGGAAAAATAAGCTGCTGCTGGCCAGATGTGAGGGGGAGGGTGGAGGGGGCGGGGGCAGAGCAGCCCCGAGAGACAGACAGACTGAGCCGGGGATGGGGGCGGGAGGCGGCCGGGGCTGGTCCCTCCTGTCAGCAGAGCACAGGAGGCTGCGGCTGAGCAGAGAACAGCTCCCCCTTCCTGTACTCCCGTCCCTCCCTACCCATGTCTCCATCCAGGTGCAGCTCTGTGGCCTCCACCCGCTGCCCCCCCAGCAGTCCCCGAGCCTGCCCTCACACACAGAGAGCGTCCCCCGAACCTCCCTTGCTGACTGACAGGCATTCCCCACATCCCCCTGCACCCCACAGAGACCCCACTCCCCCCATCCTGCTGCACTTCCACAGACACCCCTGGAAATCCCCGTGCACCTCTCAGATGGACACCCCCCTCCCCAGATTCCCTTGCACCCCTCAGACCCAGCCCTTCTCTCCTGCCCGTGCACATGGGGACAGCCCTGGTCACACACACGTGTGAGGGGGTTCCAACCAGAGCATCCTCCTTTGGGGCAGGTGGTCCCAGACCACAGGGGAGGCCACGGGGGTCAGGGTGGTGACAGGGCACAGAGCTGGTGCTGAGGGGCCCCTGTGACACTGTGCCCTCTGCCCCAAGCCCAGGAGCTGCTGTCTCTTCCACACAGGATCACCTGGAGCACAGTAGGGGCAGCTCCAGGAGGGTGATGGTGGGGATCAACCACAGCGACCCACGGCTGATGGGGAGAAGGGCTGAGCACTTCCAGGTGCCACCTACGGGCTGTCCCCACTACTTGCCCGTCCCAGGGCACTGGGCATCGCTGCCCTCTTTGCTGGTGATGCCACTGGGCACCTAGAGCCTGGTGGTGGGGGCTGCGGGTAGGGGAGGAGAGGATGGTCACGACTGGTGGGGAGCAAAGAGGCTTTGCAGAGCTGTGGTTTGAGGAGTCGCAGCCTCCCCGGTGCCCTGAGCCCCACGGTGTCCCCGTGTCCCCAGCTGCGGGTGTCGGTGGAAGGAATGTGTGCAGAGGAGGCACGTTGAGTTTCATTTCATTTCTCTCTCGCGCTAAAATCACCCAAGGGCAGTGCGAGAGCCAGGAAGGGAAAGGCACAGCCACAGACCTGGCCAATTAGCGCTGATGAAGGAAACCCGGTCAGCCGTGCTAATTAACGGGGACACGCGGCAGCAGGAACACGCTCATTCCAGCCCAGTGAGCAGAGGGAGGAGTTGCCGAGCTGAGGTGCTGAGACAAGGGAGGCCAGCAGAAACACAGCCCGAACCACAGCCCTGATGAAAAGGATGCAGATACGGTGGCAAAACGGAGCTCCCGGCAGCCGCTCGGGCTGAGACACCATCAGGGGATTAGAGGCATTGCTCCCGGGCCTTGGAAAGGAGGGGACGGTCATGGATGCGGGATGGGAGGGAGTGGGGAGTGTGTGTGTGGGTCTTTCACCTCCAGCCATTGGAAGGACTGAGGGACTCTCTTAACTGGTGTGGGGCCATGGGTTACAGCCCCCGGTGTGGGGTGTGAGGGGCTGTATCCCCCCCCCAACCAGGCGTGCCTGGTGTGTGTGGGTGTGTTCACCAGCAAACTCTGAGGTGGCCCAGCCACCAAGCAGAGAGAGACCTTGTATCTGGGCAAGGATATCCATCCTAGAATACTCTGAACATCCCTTAAGAGCCAGAAGGGGCTCTTGTCCTCCATCCCGTTGCCCTCCTGCTTCTCCCCATCCTCCAACTCCTTCTTTCCCCCACACAGGGATCAGCTCAGCACCTTTTCTCCCCCTCTCTGCTGTCCCTTGTCACCCTCCCAGGTGACAACCATGGCATGGGACCAAGGGAACCCCAGGCTGCTCCACAGGCAGCGGAGCTGGAAGCTCTTGCTGGTCCAGGAACAGGTCCCACAGTGGTGGAGAGCCTCTTGTCCTTCCACTGGGGACTGTCCCCAGCTCACCTCTTGCTCCTGGCAGGGTTGGAGCATCCAGATGCCAAAGGCAGTGATGGCCCCGTGTCACCAGCTTGTAGGGCCCTTGTTCACAGCAGTCACTTTTTGGGACCAATTGACCTTGAAAATCAAACCAAAACAACAACAGAAAAAAAAAAAGAGGAATTGAGCCAACCCAGTTTCCCATTGGATCTGTGAGCTGAGCTGAGCTGTCACTTGGCCACATCCTGCAGCAGGCTGTGGTCACGGGATGAGTCCCATCAGGCAGCTCCTCCAGCCATGACTTCACCCAGCAAAGCACAAGGCAGGGAAAACCACCAAAAAAGCTGAATTTTCATGCAGATCTCTCTCACCCCTTCCTTTAGGGTCCCCAAAAGCAGCCAGGAGGTTGTCCTGGGTCTGACACAGACACTGGGAGTTGGAGCCTGCCCCGAGCAGAAGAAACTCCTGGGAGCCAGTGACAGTGGGGGGCTTCTCCTCCTATAAATGCCTCAGAAGGGAGGGCAGCAGATGCAGTCAAAAAGCACTTGGAAATCTCAGTACTTGGGATTCAAAAGGTCCTAAAGGGACTCACTGGGGCAGTGGGTGCAAAAAGCCAGGCAAGGAGAGTGGGTGTCAGTAGCTGGGATGTTTGGTGGGAAAGTTCCCACAGCTCCTCTGCCCTGCTCTCCTCCCCCCACATCACATCCCCTGGGATTTTATTTTCCCCTGACACAGCTGGCTCCTCTCACACCTCACATTCCTGGGTGAGAGAGAGAGGTGTTTCACCATCCTCCACATCCCTTCCTGCTCGATAAATCCGCTTCCTGACGCTTTGATTTATTGTTATTTATAATCATAATAAAGCGTGTGCGTAGACGGAATAAAATTTGCCTTTTGCTGACTGAAACCTTGTGACCGCGGTGAAGGAGAGGGCGGAGGGCGGGCACTGCCTGCCCTTGGCCGGCTGCGTCCGGACTCGGGAGCTGCCAAGACCTCATCCATCACGTGGGGGAGCAGGACCAGCCCTCAGCGCTCTCCAGGCTGTGGGAGACCGGACAAAATAGGATGTGGTGGGATTTTGCCCTTTCGCAGCCTGTGTGACCTCGCGGTGGCCTCTGCTGTGCGGCGGCAGGAGCTGCTGGGAGAACACTGTCTGTCTGTCCTTCCCGCAGGGCACAGCCCTCCTCCCAGCCGTGCTGGTGGCAGGGTGCCGGAGGAGATCAGTGCCGGGGAGCCAGCCAGGACCTGAAGTCACGGAGCTGGGAGAGGGCAGGGAAGGAGAGCGATGCCAGGAGGGGTGAAGTCAAACCAGGCAGACACTCGACAGGCAGTGCTGTTGGGACACGGTGCGGCTGGAGGGGCTCAGCTCCAAGGGGACACTGCTGTGTGTCCACCCCGCTGCCCTCCTGCCCTCCTGGAACTTTTCGTGGCCCCTGTGGTGCTGTGGGTAGGACTTGCCACGGTCACTGTCACCGAGCTGCTGGTGGCAGAACCAGCCCATGGCTTGGTCTCTGTGTCTGACACTGCCTCTGTCCCCCAGAACCCAGTGCTGGCCTCCCCAAACCCATCCCTGGGGAGTCCCTGGAGACACAGAGCCCGGCAGGGCTAATTCCCAAAAGGGATGCCCTCAGCCCTCATTAGTCCCAGGGAGCTGGGGCAGAGGCAGAGCTTTGGAAAAACCCCTGCCAAAAAAAAAAAAAAGCCAAGAAAAGCCACTCATGGCCAAAATGTTCCCCGGGCAGTGCTCAGGGCTGCCCGTGCCCAGCTCTGCCTGCCCGGTCCTTGTCACTTCGGCATGTGCCAAAAGTGGCCATGCCCAGTTTAGGGAGGCGATTTTGGACCCTCTTCTATGTGAACACTATCCAGAGCTTTGCCGGGGCATCTGGAAGAAGGAAAGGGAGTGGAATCGCCGTGTTGGGGCATGTTTCCCCTCGCAGGGGACAGGAGTGTGGATGTCACAGTGCCCATCCCGCTGGCCAAGGTTTGGAAATCGCTGGGGAGCAGAGACACAGCCGGGGGAACTCCCCTCCTCTCCCACACGGTTCATGACACATCAGGATTTGATTCGGCATTTGAGGGGAGCCCTCCCCGGTGAACCCCAAGTGACACAGCCCGGAAAGGCAGCCAGTGAAGCCGAGTGGTGCCTGAGGGTAGGGACACCCCTGTGACACCGGAGAGCTTTGGGGAGCAGTGCCCACCACTCCCTCCAGTGGCAGCTGCACGACCGGTCCCCAGGATGTGGGTGGGTGCCAGGTCGGGGGTGGGGACCCTGCCACCCTCCCCATCACCTCCAGAGCAGGGCACAGCCAGGGGGGTCCCTGAGAGCTGCAAGGGCAACGTGGGGGCTTGGACCCCCTCGGAGATGAATGAGAAGGAGGGTCTTTGCTCT